CAGACATTTCTTATTAGGGTAGAAAAAATTGTGGCATCTCTTGGGAATCGTCTAACTCTGTGTTTGACTGGTCTGGCAAATATTCTGGTGTAGTAAAACATGTTACTTTTAAAGGACAATGTCCTCGCGTCCAAGAGTGGCTTATCCACACAGATTAGTCGTACTTGTGTTTTATGGGTTTACCAAACATGGCACGTTTCCATCAGCAAACTGGCTGGATATAGAGCAAATAGTAATAAACCCAAGAAAGGAAATGCATAATCAAGCTGGACAGTAGCTCAAAGATTTATTAAAATGTATGGGGAACAGTCAATAAGTTCAGTTTATAAAGTGGAAATTCCATTTCGCTAATACCAAGATACGTTTGTGGAGCGGGTAGTTACTGAGCAAGTGTTATGACCACAGTGACCTCAAAAGGAGGGGACGCAGAGACACGCTGAGTGCAGGGCGAGGCCTCATCTCTGCAGCCTGGGGTGAGCATGAGTGGCTGGAACCCATCTTATGACATTTTCTGAATAAATAATCAAGTAGTGAAGAGATAGGGAAGGGCAACCTTGAGAGTGGAGGAGAGCTTGGGCAATGACAAAGGCTTAAAAGCACAAATGTAGCTAGGCATAGTGGTGAATGCCATAATTCCAGCACTCTGGGAGGCTGAAGCAGGGGGATGGCAAGTTCAAGCCCAACCTGGGCAACTAGCCATTTGGGGACATCCTGTCTCAAATTTAAAAATGGGGTGGAGGTATCGCTCAGTGCAAAGGCCTGGGGTTCAATTCCTAACACTGTAAAAACAAAAACAAAAACACCCCAAAGACAACAGATGGCCCAGAACAACTTGGCTAGAGGATATGCTGCACGACCTCAAAGAGCAATGGAGGATAAGCCTGAGACCGAGATTCAAGAGTGAAAATATGAAACTTCACCCTCTAGTAATGACAGTCTGGTCAACACGAAACGGGAAGGCCTTGATCGGGACTTTGCTTTAAACCTTGTCTTGGGCAACTATGATGAGCTGGAAGGCTCAGAATCTAGTTTGGAGTTTTTTGCTATAGTTTAAAGAAGAGAGAATAAGACAGAATCAGAGCAGTGGCAGAGGGACTGCAAAGAAAGAGATGAACAGCACAGAACCTCAGCAACGTGTTGCCTGATACATGTGAGATGTGGTAGCAGAAACAGGCACGGGGCCACTGACTAAGGCATGACAGACATCCCTTCATTTCCACAGGGAACACTTCCTGTGCTAGACCATTGCACAGACAATAGACCAGAGATGAACAGACTTCAGCCTATGCTCTTAGCAGGCTCAGAGTCCAGTAAGAGAGAGATGAACAAAATAACATCCATGCATTACATAGTAGAACAGAATGGATTCAAGACATCACAGTTTTACTCTGGGATATGTTTGTATTCAAGGAATATCCAAATCCAAGTAATCCCAAGTCATGGTGTTACAGGTTATATAAAATCACCAGGATCGTTCATTCATTGGAAAACATATGACGTATTGAAAATCAGTCAGGCACTGTTCTAAGCATGGGAAGAAAACAGACAAAACTACCCTTAAGAAATGGCATTCTAGTGGTAGAGGACAGACAAAGTAAATAACTATAATGTAAGTGTGTGACAGTGGTGAGTACCCGGCAGAGACCGGCAAGGGAGGGCATCAGAACTGCTTGAGGTGGGGGCTGGAGGGATGGGCTCCAGAAGGCCAGGGAGGTCTTCCGGTGAAAATTCACTGATGTCAGGCCTGAGCTGTTGTTCCCACGGCTGCTGACTCCAGCCCCTTGCTCTGTTTATTTCATTTCCTGAAACTCTTCTCATCCTCCCCACTCTGAGCACTTCAGTCTTGCTTCATTGGATTGGAACTTGACTCTTCTCAGCCTGTCCTCTCTCTTTATGGAAGGGAATGTCTTAAGTCCTTTCAGTGGTCCGCAGACAGGGGCAGTGATAAATCAGGGCTAGAGAGCACTCGGTACTTTTACATACTTGATATACACACAAATACCACAGTGAAGAGTCACCCTGCTTTTTCTGCCTCTCAGAAAACATCAGGCTAGGCAGAAGGGGACTTCTTTGAGTATTTTTTTTCACAGTCCTTTTTTTCACACTCGACCCCTACTCCAGGCAGGGTTTGGCCCTGGGTTCGTGCACTTCCTGTGGGGAGAGCTGTCCCCAGTCTGTGTGAGGGAGTTCAGCTGACTAGTCATTCCCGCACAGCTCCGACTGAGCCTGCTTGGTGAGCAGGCCCCTGTGCTTCCTCTGTAGAGCAACACAGAGATGCTCGAGGGGAAGCTCCGCTCATCACGGTAGGATTCCACTTGTCCCCACAGCCAGAGGTACATTCTCAACACCTAAATCACAACCTGGTTTTGTCCTCCCTTTTTCTCTCCTCTGCCTACTTGGCTTCAAATCCTTTTTTCTTTTGGCTTTCGCCTGTCCTCAGCCCTCCTCTCGAGCCTTCTCTCCCAAGGTGAGAAGATCTCACTCACTGGCTTTAAAAATCATCACATGGACACATGAATCAGACATACTTTCTACTGAACTTCACAATCGAAGATACTACTGCAGTGTGACATTGCCATTTGGGTGTCCGTTAGACATTATAAACCTAAAATGAACAATGCAAAAGTTCTTGATTTTCATGAAATCCCAGTCCTAATCCTTGTTCCAGTCTCAGCAAATAGCACTGGTATCTACGGGAATGCTCAGGCTCCAAAACTAGGGCCACTTTTTGTCCCCAGCCCTAGGAATTGAACCCAGCCCTTCATGCATGCTAGCAAGTGCTCTACCACTGAGCTACACTCCCAACCCCATGGAGTCACCCTTGATGCCTCTTTTTAGCATAACCTACTTAGCTCTACTTTCAAACACATGTTCTATACCAAATATGACTACTACTCAATAGTCTCTACTTCTTTCGTCAAATTCACCTATATTTCTTACAGGTCCTCTACTGAAAGTCTTTGACCACATCTCCTGGCAAGTGGCAGGAGGCCTTGCCAGGATCTTAACTGCCACTGTACATGAGCTGGCCAGAATCAATCAATCAGTCAGTCAATCAATCATTCTCTCTCTGTCTCTCCCTTATTTACTATGATCCAGCTATGCTAGGTGCCATCTGTCCCTTGAGTAGTCCAAATTTCATCCTGACAAGGCCCCTTAACTTCAGTTCCCTGAGCTTGGAGTAGCAAGACTGTGAATTTCTCATGGATTATGCAGGTATGGAAACAGATGACTGGATTTGAGGCTGGCTCTCCACTGAAGAGGGCTGTCTTCCAGTAAAGGATGCCCCCAGCAACAGGAGGCAGGTTACATCGCCATAGATAAGAGATAAGAAGGGTAGAAGAGCTGGTGCCATCTAAGAAGCAGCAGGTACCAACAGGAGGACACACTCACAGTAACCAGGTGAAGATTATCCTTTCTCTCTTCCTCTGCCCATCCTAGCCCACTGGGGGAGATGAGGACCAGAAGAGGGAGGATATTCCAATCAGATAAGAAGTTTGAAGCTTTAAATTAAATCTCTTTGAAATGTATTTGTCAAAAAGAAGCAGGCAACTATGGCATCAGACTTCCCAACTCCAAGACCGTCACCTTCCCACACCAGTGCGCTGCCTCAGCATTCGGTCTGTTTATTTTTGTCGGAAAGCTTATTTCTTCCTCTGAAGAAAGCCAGGCTAAAAACAAATGTGTTGTGCATCGGCCAGAAATGGCCCCACGTTTCGCCTCTATGTATTCCAGTCTAGTCAAGAGGATTTTTAAATGGCCTCCTCTATTTCAGGATCTCAGAAAGCTGATCCAGGCAAGGAAGGCACGCAGCAAGAACCATGAAGACACCCAGAGCTGAGAGTTGTGGGGAGCTGCAGTGTGGCTGGCCGTCTGTATTCTATAGAGTGCTTCGAAGGGTTTAACCACCAAGGCGACCAAGCATGCTTGTTTGTCCAGGACACCCTGCTTTGTGTCTACTGCCTCCGCCTTATTATCCATAGTATTACCTTTAAATCAGTTTTAAAATATTCTTTTCTGGATCATAAATGGCTATCCTATCAAACAACCACAGAAATCAATCGACAGAGGCAACTTCAAGGCATCTTTGATTTGTTTATGACAAAAATGAAGAAAAATGCAGATGGGAACAGCAACTGGACCCAACTAAAGCGAGGAGGAGATCCAGGCCAGTGCAGGGGCCATTTGATGGCCTTCTTGGCCAAGTCTCTCCCCAGCCCTGGCTGAGCGAGTGAGGACTACTGGCAGAATTCCTCTGGACAAGAGAGCGCTGCCATTCACTCTTCGATCAGCAGTGTACTGCAGAGTAATCATTCCCAGGGAGGCTTGTGCATCTGCAATAAGTTCCGAGTTAAAGATTTTTCGTGTAGGGTTGTTAGAGAAAAATCACTACCTTACATATGTCACCCAGGTGTCACAGGCGTTTCCACTCCCGTGGAGGACACAGCTGGAGATCCACAAAGAACGGGGAATGAGGAGCACAGTCTCAGCATTCTAATCCCTTTCAGAGTTTTGTGCCATTGTCTAACTTTGTAAAGAAGAAGGCACACACAGCTCTGCCTCTTAGTGGCTCAGGTTTCCTTACCTTTTTATTTTTTTAGTTTCTTTTACAGCAGCTTCTTCCTCAAATTCAGAATCCTATGCAAAAATTGGGTCTCAAATTCTGCCACAGCCTTTTGATTCTCACCAACAAGTGATTTTCAGGTTTATCTCTCACGGTTTACTTTGTGAACATTTCCAAATCCCTCTTACAGGGTCTCATAAAGCCCAAAGGGCCAGTGATACCTGACACTGTCTGTGCTATAATACTTCTGCGTCGTCACCTTGCCCTGGAGTCTATTACAGCAACCCCAAGAATGTGTCAGAAGGCTGCGCTGCTCTACAGGAGCAGGAGAAAACAAGGGTTCTGTGGCGAAAGATATTTATTAAATTATAGGAGATTACAAGAGAAATTACAGGAGAAAACAAGGGTTCTAATGCATTACAGGAGAAAACAAGGGTTCTGTGGCCAAAGATATTTATTGAAATACAGATTTAAAAATATGCACAAGTCTCTTTACTATAGGATTTTCCAGAGTTTTTAATGTGCAAACAGGCATGTGAACCCCTGATAAAAACAGGGAATACTGAGAGGCATCTCCCCCCTCCCTGAGGACAGTACCCTTTCTATTTTTGGTAGAAAGTCAGGAGGGACACTTGTGACGTATCATGAGAAACACTGTTTTCCTCTCCTTGCTAGGAATATATGCTCACAGTATACATAACTAGCACATGTAAAGTACCAGTTATATTAACATCATGAGAGCCTCCCCCCACAACTATGATAGTCTCATAACACACTTTCTTCTATTACCACGGAAAAGGTGGGCATATTAAATTAGTTTATAATTGTACAGGCCTATGAGTGATGCTGTGTACAGCAAGTAGGTGCTATTCTTTGGTAAATCAGAACCTCTTCTGAACTAAGCATTGACATTATTTTGGCTTTTGTGCCATTGTCTAACTTTGTAAGAAGTGAAAATCAAGAAAGAAAAGAATTTTGTAAAAGGAGCATCTATGAAATACATCAGTTATGGTGTTTTTTTTCAATCAAGCAAAAGCAAACAGAAAACCCCAAATAACAAACATAGACATGGAGACCTCTTCTTCCTCAGGCAAGATTCCTGTTAGATTCCAAAGCAAACTGTACTGGAACTCAGAAGATTCCTGGCATCTCTGCATCACTGTGCTATGCATAGTATTTTTCACGCAAATTGACGAAAGCACATGGTCGTACATGTCTTGAGTGCCTGATCAGGACTATCCTTTTTCAAAGCTGAAAAAACTCAAGCCACCAGCAGAATATTTCAGTGACAGTCCTATATTTGGATATCTCCACAGACACTGTATAGGGTGACATCACTCATGGTACAAAAACATGTAATTTTGTCTCATATTCCTTTTGCTGTTTTTTCTCTACTTTTGCATTTAAAAGTGCTTAGGCTGAGACTCAAAAGCATAGAATAAATTCAAGTCTTTTCTTTATATGTTATGATAATCATATGTATACAACATTTATTGGAGTACATGATCCTCACCCATTTTGCATTGCCTGAATTTTCATTTTTACTGTTGTACTCCACTACGAAGATGCCTGAAGCCTAATGCATTCCAGAAAAAGGTGCCTTTTTATAGCTCGGGTAGAGAGAGGCATACTGGTGCTTCTTAAAGCAACTTCCAAGCAGTTTTACTATAACATAATAGAATGAGAGAGAATGTTTCCAAAGCAGACAACTACACAGCACTCTGGAAGCACACAGAAAACTAAGCAGAATAATTGTGACGAGGCTGCGTGACTGTGCCAGGCTTTGAACAAGTGGTCATTCTGCGGTGACATCTGCTGAGCAATGTGTCCATTGTTCTCTGGAATTTAATTCATTTTAAATTACTCTATCCAGATGATAAAACACGAGACGTGCTGCACTCTGGGGGTAAAATGCTGTGCTGGTTTTTATTGTGCTCATGACTCTTAGCTAGGAAGCAATACAGCCTGTTCTCATTAGGTCTTGATGGCTGTCTTTTGAAAAACAGCTAGCTCTAGAAATGTGAGTGAACTCTTAGTAAGTGGCAAAATTGGGATAAATGATCTTGTCTACTCTGGTGTGACTGTAAAGTTGGCAGAGTCATGTATGAAAACTTCTCGCAGAGCAGAGCTTTGGAAGAGAAACTATTTTCAAAATTAAGAGTAGTCTGCGGTACTTGTTTACTGTGAGATATAGTTTACTATGTGCATTAATACAGCCAATAAATTACTGTTCAAGGACTATCATGCAAATGCCTCCTAATCCAAAAACTACAACTACCTGTCTAAGGAGCTTTGTGAAAGTTTGTAAAAGTTGTATGTTGTGGGAACACTGCCCTCTGGGCATTATTAATCAGACATTAAAAAATATCAAGATATAAATCTAAGAAATCACATACATACACACGTAAGAATTCATATTTCCTGTATGCCACTTATTTAATACAAACTTTTGAAATAAGTTCAGATGAAATAAAAATCAAAATTCTCAAGAAAGTGAAGTGAAATATTAACTTAATTGCCAAATATTTCCTATTGCCCCGAACAACAGTATTTTAAACAATTCTATGCAAAAGTATGCTTTCCAACTGCTTAAGTGATATGGTACACAAACCAGCTTTCAAATAATAAAGCCAGTCATTTTGCATTTTGAGAAAGTAAAGGATACTATGACTCATCACACATACACGTGTGCTTGCCTGCAAACAAGCCAATGATAAAATTCGGCCTCTTCTACAACGAGTACATAAAGATCATTAAGTGCTTCCAGGACGGAACACTATGTCACCCCTCCCTACAATCCAGGTAGTTTCCTTTAATCCAATAGCAAATCTGGGCATATTTGAGAGGGGTGATTCTAACAGCCACATTGAAATCCTGTGGAGAACCATTCATGTCCACCCACTGGTGCCCTGAAAAGATGCCAATAATTTTTCGCTCCCACTTCTGCTGCTGTCTCTTCCACATCCTCACATAGACCCCCGAGCCACTGGCCCCAGGCTGGGCATCACACTGCTGGTAAAGTAGGTCATAGGTCTCATCTTTGACGTCACAGAAGCGATACACCAAGTTGCCTGGTCGATCATTGTCATAGCCGGAAAAATGGATTCTGCCCCCTGGCAGCTGTTTAGCAGGAGGGCTCACCCCAATCTTCATGAACTTTCTTTTGTGGGGCTTTTTCAGTTCCAAGAGGGCATAGTCATAATCCATGCCAATGTCGTTGGCATTGCCCTTGATCCAACCTTTGGGCACATGGGTACGTTTTACCCGGATCCACTGAAATTTCATCTTCTCTGGCGTGGCTGAGTTTGAGGTGTTAGTCTCTCGGCCACTGTCTTTAAACTTGGGCTTCAGGAAGCCCACCCGAAGTTTCTGTGTTCCTTTCACATAGGTTTTCCCATCATGTATGCAGTGGGCAGCTGTAAGGACGTGTTTCTCTGCCACCAGGGTGCCAGTGCAGCCTGTAGATAACTTCACCGATGTTGAGAAAGGGTAGTTAAGCAGGAAGTCCTTCCCAAAAATGCTGAACCTGCTGTCATAGCCATAAATCTGTCGCTTCCTCCGAGATGTTCTCGGCAACTGTGAGTCTTGGTGTTGAGCCCCATGTCTACCACTGCTGAGGATGTAAATGCCCACTTGAGTCTCTGTGCGGCTGCCATTGGCATAGAGCGTCTCATAAGACAGGTATTGCTTGGCCTGTTCATATGTAGGCAGTGGAGTTCCTTTGTGACACTGTGGTCCACATGAGGAGGACACTTCCAATTTGGCTTTTGCCCCAAAGTCTGGCTTGGCTAAGTTGAGGGTAGACTGGGGCAGGACAACAGGGAGGCGGTAAGCCGGCCAAGTAGGTTTCCAAGAGGCTTCGTAGGGACTCACGTGCCCGACAACACAGAGCAGGAGGAGAAGGAAGAGGAGCCCTGGGATCCCTGCCATGCTGAGCACCATTCTGTAGATACAAAGACAAGCAGGTCAGAGGGGAAGGGCTGAACCTCATTTACTACAAACCAACAAACCCTGGCAGCATGCCCATCACTGCTTGTGTAAACCCTTCTCAGGAATTGGTGTGGAGAGGAATCCTTAGGCAATGGTCTCACTATGCAAGGACTTACTCTTGAAAGTTTCCAGTGGCTGGGTGCCCCAAATGCAGTTGGGTCTTCATTCCCATGATGGTGCATTGTAGTCAGTGTGCATGTGGCCAGCAGTTCCCAGATGAATGGCTGACCAGCAGCTCCCAGATGAATGGCAGCCCCAGTTTCCATGTGACACTGAGCTGTCTTTGTGCTGCTTCCAAACTTTGCCCTCTCCTATCTTCCCGGTCCCGCTACCTTTCTTTCCTTCTCCCTCCTCATTCTCATACAATATGTGCTTGGAAAATGATCAGCGCCACTTGCTCATTTCCATGGTAAATCTCAATTAAATACTTTACTAAATGACCAAGTCATCTAAAAGAGACAACTCTGGTGTCACATTTATTAGGACTCCCATTACTTCTATATGATGGGTGCATTTGCAAGATGATGTAATCATTTTATTTTTCTTTTGGCTTTGAATTTAAAACAACATTTAGGGTTACATATTTAGTTCCAGAGTATCCAAGGCCTCTAGCAAACAAAGTATTCCCATTTTCTCTGGATTATGTTGTACACTAACAGGATCCTGGTCAAAGACCTACAGCTCCAATATTGCATCAGATGTAACTTTATGACTGTTACTGTTGGTTATGTTTTCAGGTGTCTGTATCTATGTTCCAGTTACTTTAAATACCCGCATGCCTAACATTCAACAAAAATTTGTTGAGTGAATGCTTGTGTCAATGGAAGAGTGAATGAATGACATGTTCCAGAAAATACATTTTTGAATGATGCACACTGTCTTCTAATGACAGAGATGCACATAGATGATGCGGTACCTCACATAAAGGGCAAAAAAGTCAGACGTAAAGAACAAGAAGAACAGGGGTGGCGTTTTAGAGGAAGGGGTGCTTAAGATGGGTGCTGAAGTGGAAAAAGGTAGGTAGCATAAGAGAGAAGGGAACAACACGTAAAGAAAGGGAAGAACAGTCTATGCAAGAGCACAGGTCCATGCAACAGTGCGTGTCATTTTAGGACTTCTACTTGGCAAAGGTGGACCAGAAGAGATGGTGGAGGCTGCAGGAAAGACAGGTTACGGACAATCACACACACTAACTGGAGTTCGGATTTTACTTTTTTTTTTTTTTTTGTGGTACTGGGGATCGAACTCATGACTTTGCACTTGCCAGGCAGGCGCTTATGCCACTGAGCTATATCCCCAGCTGGATTTTACTTTGAAAGGTATGTTTAAATACCTGGATCAATCATCTCACAAGAAAACATAAAAGCAGATTCAAAGAACTTTCATATCTGTATGTTTAAGCATTAGTTGGTTGTGAATGATTCTGAATTCTCCAGTTCAGCTGACTCAGAAGGCAGGGTGATTCATCCATAATCAAGCCTCTCAGGACAGGACAAGAGAGATAAGTCTTAAAGAGGCTCAAGGGACACAGGAAGGGGAGTAGGGAAATGGTTTTATTATTCTCATCCCCTTCCTCATTGACGTTACAGACCTGCTGGCAACTTTTGTGCCTGCTTTTACATAAAACTGGAAAATCCCATTGATTTGATCTAGTCCAGGTAAACATGCCAATCCACATTCCCAATATCCACACAAATTTCTAAACTATGTGTGTGTTCCACCCACTGCTGGGATGTCTTTGCTCTACTCTTCCTCTTGAATTCCACTTCTGTCAAGGAGAATAGGGATGAGAAAAGAAAGGAATGAGGTCCAGAAAAAGCCAATTCCTTGGGATTTCCTGAGTCCCTCAAACTGCTTCTTATCATCATTCTAAATAAGAAAGGACCCTGGGCCCTTTAGTGATGATAAAATACATTTAATTATTTAAGTCTTTGAAATATGGGGTATGTGTATATGTGCACAGTTGCATGTTTACATGTGCTAGTTGAGAGCATTGCTGACAGTAAAGGTTCTAAGCGGACTAGGAAGGGTATGCTGAGGATGGCAGTCTTCCCCACACCCCTCCCCCATGAAGAACTGGACAACAGGATAGGTGTGGTGATGATAACCCTATGGGGATCTGTGACATGGCTCTGTGTCTGATTATTACCATCTCCCAGCAGAGGATCTAGCTCCAGGGTTTGAATGGCTTTTTTTCTATTTAGGTAGACATAGGTGACTAAATGTCCCACTCACACCAGGATCCCTGCCAAGTATGATGTATGCTAAAAGGAATTGTGAATCTCCTACATGGCCGTATTTTGAATTCCAACACACTATCCTCTCCTCCCTTTGACTAATGTGGAGAATATTAATTCTCCTAACGTTGAGCAGCAAGATGTTTTATGCCAAGTTTTATTTCAGCTTATCTTAAGAAGAGAAACAGAATCCACAGGTACTAGTTGCCAAGTGTTGTTTTTAAAATATGATTCTTGAGGGAAAAAGGAGTTAGTACTATGCTACATATTCTCATAAGTGGCACATAATGTTTTCAGCATGCATGAAGAATGAGATAAATATGATATGCTCCTATTATCATTTAGATTGTAGAGGATGGATCTTTACTCATAAAGCTGAAACCTGTATGAATCCTGGGTGTACAGAGTTCAAATTATTAACTGTGCCAAAATTTTCCCAGTGGCATCTGCCTTTATCAGCTTACCCAAAAACTGAAACAGGATACCGGCAAATTTATTATTTGGGAGATGATAGATAACTATATGCCAAGAACTTTCAGTATCACAACTAAAAGAATGCTATTAGAAAATGCTAAAGAGTCTGCTGTGTGAAAGCACATGACTAATTCAGAGTTCTTACAACTTAAGTTCTGGTCATTTATCCAGAAGTGAAGGAGAAGTCAGGTGTCTATAAGAAAAAGACTGCTAAACCAGTAAGATAGGGCAAAGTTTTAATCTTTAGAAACAACATTTTGGATACTTCAAAAGCACTGCTGTTACTTTGAAACACTGCTTATAAATTCCCTATATTATTATCAAACTATATTGACTTGTGTGTTACGACTTTATTCAGACAGGATTCCATGTGTTGCTTAAAGTTTCTATGGACTTCTGACAGTTATAAAATAACATGTCAAAATTATAATTCAGATTTAGAAACTAATGCAGGCTTTTAGAAATTCACGTCAGTCAAATTATTCCATGCCGGTTGTGTTTTAATTACCCGATCAGAATGGAATGATAAAACTGTGCTCAGGTCCTCAAGGAAGTTATACTGACATCTGTGTTACAGTTACAAGTTTCCTAAGTTGCTCACTCCTCTTTTACATGTTTATTTAGGGTAGTTTAGGTACTGTCCTGAATAGCAACCTGAACTAGATCTCTTTAACTGATATCAACAGATCCAGGATTATCTTATAATTTTCCAGGATTAAAAAGTCCAAGCCAGAGACAATGTTGTTTATAAATAGTATCTGTACTGTCAATTACTGCTCAGAAGTGTTTTCTCTTGGAATTATGGAGGCTGGAGGAATAGAGGAAAAGGAAAATGAAAACTTATCATGCTAATGTCTTACCTAGTTGGGAGATAAGAGTTATATGCTCAATCTGCAAGAGAAACCAAGGTCTCCAGCAGAGGGCAGCTTTCAAGAAGTGAGTGCAGGGATGGCTCCATACGAATGGTTTTAGGGACAGGTGTGTGTGTGGTGGGGAGTATGCCAGGGGAAAGAGTCTTGCTGTCTACTAGGGTCTTTTTGGAAGTATTTATACTCTACCCTGAACATTCCCATTAATAACAACCAACGATAACTGTGATGTTTTAAAATTAGGTAGGTTGCTTCACATTAATTTATCAACTCATCTGAGAATAGAATAATTCCCCGGAGAAAATAATTATTGTTTCCGATTCTATAAACTCTAGGTAAGCCCATACTAGGCCCATATAAATATATTTAAATGTAGACACCATAGGATGTAAACAAATGTCATAAAAACATTCCCAATCCTCCAACAACTGGAAAGATAACAAAAGAGATACACAACTTTAAATTTTCTCAGTTACAAATGGATCACTTTATCCTTGCAGAGATATCTAAACTCACCTTAAACAAAAATGAAGGTTTCCAAATCTTATCCTTACTATATCTAAATCTAAGTGAAGAAAATTTAGGTACAACATTCCATTTCTAGGAATAAGCACTTGTCAGATAAAGATTCCTTATATACATATATTACCCTTCAAAGTTTTCAACTAAGTGTTTTCATGCATCACCTCGTTCAAATGGCAAAGCAGAATGGAAAATTCGGCTAAGCAAATTGCTACATTGTGCTTAGTAATACAGAAACTGTACTCCTTTTCCAACTCTGGGTATCTGACTCACAAGGGGGTTACACATACCTTGCTCCATCATGCAGTAGGAGCCACTGTCTCCTTGTTCAGTGTCTCATAATATTTATATTTCGTGAGCACGCTGCCACTTCATAAACTTACTAATAATTTTATGGTGGAGGGTTGCACATTACCAGATGTGCAAACAACAATAACATTTTTGGAGACAGAGCACTGCAACTACCATCTCTTGTTCTGCATTTTGGTCTTCAACACTGCCACAACACAGGTCTCCTCAAGAGGGCCAATGTTTGAGAAAATGATTTAATTCCTATAGCAAACAAGTGCTGCCAGGGAAAGCCCATTACTTCCAACGTCCACTCTCTATTGCACAGTGCATGAATTCTTGTGATCTCTGTAAGTGATACGGACAGAAAAAACTGCAGCAAAGTATGTGAAGATACTAGTTTTGGATACCAAAGAAAGATGACAAAGGGTCTTCCATGCGATCTATGGCCAGGGATATGTAACGGTGAAATCATGCTAATTCCTAAAGCAAACATCTAAAAATGAACAAAGATCTGTGAATACTCTGCAGCCAGGCTTGCTCTCATTTCTCAGAGTCAAACAACTTGCTAAAGCAAAACAGACATAATCACATAATCGCTTAAGAACAGTCTTCTACAGGAAACTTCAGGGCACTTAGAAGCCCAGCAACTCTAAACACAATCTTGTGGTCAAAAGAAGTTCAACTTCTCTATCAGATTTTAGGCAAAATAAACTACCCTAGTAATCCCAAGGCCAACCTGGCAGAAGAACAAAAACAAAACGAATAAAAACTGTCAATGATGAGATCACGAGAAACAAATTCCCCAGAGCCAGTGGGACTTGTGCATGAATAACGCCTGGTGCACTGAATCGTAAAGGATCGATGAGAAAGATGTATGGGAGAACTAGAGACTATTAAACTCTGCAGACCCGGGCCAGTAATGTCCTCAGACACAGTCATGGGCCCTTTGGCACTGAGGCTACAGACAGAAAAACACACACATTCACTGTCTACCTGAATAGCCTGCAGTGTTACATTCATTACCCTGGAAATACACTTCCTTCCCAGTTCAGGTACAGGAAAGCATAAAAAGTTCCCTCTTGTCTTTATTTGGGTGGAAAGAGCACAAGTGACGAGTTTTTCACGTGCAGGTGGTATGTACAGGATCACACACATTTTCAGAAGTACATGTGGTAGTTTCTGTGCATTTACTAAGTTCCTTCTTCACATTCCACCTCCAATCCATTCCTAAGAGACTACTTGAAATAGTTATAAACCTGTTTTAAATGTTCCCATGCACAAGCAGGATCTTGAAACAATATGCACTAAATATCCCCATACTAATTTGCCATAGGAATTTTGGCTTTAGCTGACTTCCCCTATAAATCCAACTTTTCCCCCAGGGCGGGGTGAAGACAGTTCTAGCACAGGCTTACCTGTCTGTTCCTGAGGAGCACACAGGGGCCCCTCAAATTCAGTTTCAGGAGCTCAGAGAAGCAACCTATTCCAACCCTCACTCTGCGGGACCTCAGGTTTTCCCTTAGCCGTGGGCTATTTCTGAATTCTCATGGGTGTCGCCCAATGGATAATAAAACAAACAGGATTTTTATCAGCTGCTTTCTCATGAGATGTTTAAAAACAAACCTGATTTGTATTCTAGAGGAAACTGCTGGTATTGCTTGATCTAAAAAAAAAGAAGCCTTTTTCCTTTCTTTCGAAAAGCTTTCACACGTTAAAAAATTTTCCTAACTTGAGATGGATGCTTGCAGGCTGCAGAAGAAATATTTGCTTGCAACAACTGTTGATTGGTCAGACAGCAGTTTCCACATATAGCATCCTCAGGAAGCACGCGGCCACCAGGACAGCCCCAGGGAGAAGGGACCCGTCCTCCAGGCCCTGTCTGCGGACCTTTCCGTGCTCGCTAAGGTGTGTTCACAATCACGTGTCTAGGGTTAAAAATTTATGCTCAAAACGTGAGGGACGCACACACAGTGTACGCAAAACTTATTAAAAACTAGCGATGGTGGCGGTGGGTAGGGCAGCGGCGGGGGGTGGCGGTGGGACCGCTTGCCCCAGCGCTCCACCTCTACGCTCACCTCCCACCCGGCACCCTGCCTCGGGACAGCAGTTCAAAATCTTCTTTCTCGTCCGCTTCACGGGTGACACTGCGTGAGTGCCAGTGCCCCGCAGCCCTGCAGCCCCCGGCGCAGCCCCGAGCCGGCCGCCGAGGCCAGGGCGAGGTCTCCGGTGCGCCCTGCAGCCCCACCTCGCGCGCACCCGGCCC